TAAAGGGGAGGATACTTACACACTTCATAATCTAGCAAGAAGACATTTTCCCAGAAATAGAGTTTTGATTAGTGGAATTGACAAAAAAAGGCTGATGTACAAAAGTAAAACAGCTGTGGAATTTAGTGAATGAATCTGAGCACCATCAGCTTAACTCAAATTCATCTCTGCTACACTTAATGTAACCGAACTCTGAGCATGAAAACCATCACAGTGCAGCAAACTAACCTGTTTATCCTGCACTAACATGCAACCTTTAAATAAAAAAGTTAATCTACCTCAGTAAGGCCAATCACGGCAATTAATTTACCAAAGGAACAACACTTACAGATTCATTAACACACAACTTAATCACATAAAACAACAAGTTACAACTGCAATGCTCTGCAGCAGCTCTGAATATCTGCTCTGCATGGTAAGCATATGGCCACTGATGCAAAGTTCCTTTGGGTGCACTTGATTCTTACCTCTAGACATCCCAAGGAGGGCAGGGAAATCTGATGCCTCTGTTATGAATGAGAGTTGTGGTACTGAGAAAGTCCAGTAACTCCAGCCGTACTTATCATGTCAGCCTAAGGATTTATTGCTTCCACTTAACGACGTAGCAATCTCTTCTCCAAATCTTTGTTGCTGGCATTATCGGATAAGGACGAGCTCAACTTCCAGAAGATCTTCTGTGGATAGACCACACATTTGTGTTATCTTTACCTTTTCTTTTGTACATCTTTTACAGGTATGATTATTTAACTTAGGATGACGGTTTCCTTTTTTTTTTTTTTTTACATCCTATTCCACAAAGGATTGTTTTCATTTTAAGGAACCAAGCAACAGCAACCTCGAGCCTCTTCCACTCTGAGAAGTACGCTATCAATCAACACATAGGATCAGAAAAGTCTTGTACTTTAGTAACATTTACTGTGGACTCACCTTTGACTTCAGGGTCATCTGGTTCTAAGGAGCTTTCCATTACATTGGTAGGCCAATCAGTTTTTGGCTTCTGAAGGATCTGTGGTCCTTCGATTCAGTGACTGTTATGATAAATGTTCCTGGCCTTGAACCCTCTTGTAGCATCATTTGCTGGATTTTCCGTTGAGCCAACAACTAAACAGTCACAATGGACACAATAAATGAGGCTATTTGCCACAAAGGTAAGGAAATGTTTATCTTTATTCATTATATATTTGAGTAAATTCCCAATACGTGTCCTTACATCTGCAGCAAAAGCAAGAAAACAATCACAATCAAAGCTCTGTCTCCCTTAGTTCTCAGCCTAGTATGCTGTATAACAAGTAGGCCCTGATCACATGACCTCAGGGACCAGCTAGGGATATAGGGATGTAGAAGGTCAATGATGTAAAATGATGCTTGTGCATTAACAGCTTTAAAAGTCAGAACTAGAATCTTAAAATGGACTCTGAATTCCATGTAGCTGTATTAGTAATGGTGTCATATGCAAGTACTTAGAAGATTTGGTCAGGGGACTTGCTGCAGCGTTTGAAACCACCCGCAGACATTTAGGCAAAGTTTTTGAAATCTACGAAAGCCACACTGAAACGACAAACATCAAGAATGCTTCATTTGTCCAAAGCTGTTGTGAGCTGCTTAGCCACAACCAGGGCTGGACTGGCCATCATGTTTCGTTTTTATAGGCCGATGGGGTTTAATTTCTTTTCTTTTTTTAACGGTATAAATGAATGGTGGTGGATTGGGCAGTTGGTCATGATCGATTCTGGGCTGGACCAATTACAGCCAAGGAGGTCGAACTGAGGGTTTTTTTGCTGCTGTTTACATAAAAATGCAGCCAAGGCATTTTTTTAAATAAACATTTCAAACTATTTACAGAACAATCAGCTGTTATGCATCAAATTTGATGCCACAAAAATTATTTGTGCCACTGCAAAAAAAAAAATTCTGTCCACTATAAGATAAAGGAGAACAGCCTGATACCTGCAGGCCTGACAACAGGAGATGTATCACTCCTGTAACACCTGTAACACTCTCAGCAGTCGCCTCATTGTTCTGACACACACAACAAAACTATTGGCTACACTACACACTAACTACACAAGATTTGCACTAAACGTCGCAAATCTGTCACATCTCAAAACATCTCAAAACAAATATTCTATAATTTTTTCATCACTCAAAATAAGCGTCAAACTCGCGGAAGCCTAAACGCCGTGCATTTATCGAGACTTTCAACCCCAGGTAGGCCAATTATGGATCTTCGGATCCACATTATGTCACCAGCAGTTCTCCACCATGAACTATGTTAAACACAAACACTGCTCACGCCTCACAGACAGCAGCTTACAGTCCTGCGTAAAGATGAAAGTGATTTCGTACAGCCCCGATTTGCAGAGGCTTTGTTCAGAGGTTCAGGAGCAGAAGTCCCATTGTAAAAATATCACGACAGACACGACGATGTACAGTGTTATCTTCATTTTAGATGTCAAAAAGTATTTGCGGCTCGGCTCCCAGTGTTTTCTTTTGCGTGGAAACTGGGTCCAAATGGCTCTTTGGGTTTTAAAGGTTGCTGACTCTTGGTCTAGGTGTATGATCCTGTCCCTGGGTGTGTGTAAGTGGTCCTGAGTTCAAATCCTGCACAAACCCATTAAGTAACAATCATCTTGTCTACTGTGTAAAGTTAGGTCTGCTAGGTGCTAAAGTGAGATACTTGTGGAGTTATATGACCCAGATACACACACCTACATACAGACATGTAAACTTAAGCAACGCAACCTTCAAGACCATTCCACTGCTCTGATGTGTTGAGAAAGGAAAAATATTAGGAATCTAATTATTTCTGTTACTGTCTCTGCTTCTAAACACTCCTGCTCTTCCTTATTTAATGATATACAGCAGGAGAATGCATGGAGGACCTGTGATAAATACTGTATCAATAACAAATATATGGAGGTGTCTTTCAACATGTTGCACATCTGATGCATATTTAGATGTTAACGCTGTCTCTGTGCGATATAAAATAGTTTAGAGAAATAAAATAGAGAAATAGTTTTAGAGTAGACAAAGAAACTTAGCTCTTCCAAGTGACCACAGTAGAGCTGAAGTGGAGGGGGCGGGGCCGACCAGGGTTTGGCCAGCTGGCTGTGAATGGGCAGGAGAGAAGTGACGTATCAGGAAGTGAAACGCGAACAGAAGTAGATGGCGGGAGAGCGGAAATACGTTAAAACAGGCGAAAAACGACAAGCAGAGTGAAAGTAAACCTGTAATGTGGAGGAAACGGACAGTGAGCGCAGTGTAACCGTGACAACGACACACGAGGACGGATTTAAAGTGATCATAAAATCGTCTCCAGACGGTCGTCGTTCGGTGAGTGGAACCAGATTCAGCAACAACAGCGATAAATACGCCTGTAGGGAGATGAAGAGTGCTAAAATACTGAGAAACGGCTCTCTGATGAGTGTTTGTAGGGATGTGGTTCAGCAAAATAAAGACACACGACTCAGTCAAATAAGCGTTAATGAACTCCACAGTCTGCTGCCTGACAACAAAAGAGCGTCTGTGGGGGTATGGGGAGTACCTGAAATAGAAAAAAGAAAAGAAAACAGGGACAATAGTGCTGGTTTAAAACACATATTACAGGGAGAAATGTAACGGCAACGGTTTGGCTGCTGTTATTAAGTTTTATGAACAAAGTAAGATGTACAGTGGATAAATTAGCTATGAGGTTAGACCTCCCCACCACGGAGATGGTTTTGTTCTGAGATGCTGTAAGTATCAAAGCAGCTCATATTACTTGTTTCTGTTTTATTGGATTAAATAAGAATGACAAAAGTTTCACTGTGAAGACGTGATTTAAAGATGACAGAACATATACATTGCACATATATCACATCATATCATGAGTGAAGCACTGTGATTTTTATCTTGGATGCAGTAATTTGCTAGAATTGGAAGAATTTGTCAGGGAGAGCCACACAGGAAGTGTGTACCTGATTTCCCTGCTTTACTCCTGTCTGCACAGGTGACGATAATGGATCTGTTTGCCAAATGCCATTAAGCTGTGAAGAACGAGAGGTGCTGTGGGTGTGTGGCCATGGCTGCTGTTTGATGAAGTGGACTGAACTTAAAGGAGAGACACAAATTAAAGTACTGATCCCGTCACATTAGTGCGGATTTGGTACCAATACCACTGTCGGTATCGCTTCTATCGATGCTTGTATCGATCCGCTCAGCCTGAGTTGAAGCAGCGATGAGTTCAGCTCAGTATCTGAGAGAGTTCATCAAGGAGAGACTAACTGCTGTTTGTGAAGAAATCTTCTCAGAGGTTCAAAAAACCATCGTCCAGTATGAGGAGGAGATCAACCGTCAGCACAGACTGCTGGATATCAGCCGGAAACCCGACAGAAACTCACACATCATAGGTATGGACGTGTTTTTAACTCTGTGCTGTTCAAGCTCAGATTCTTCAGTGTGACTGACTTTACTAGAAGATGTTAAACTAGGTATTTATCAGTGTTGTGGGTCAGTGTCCAGTGATGGACTATGTTGGACTGGTGCGAGTCCATGGTCACTGCTACATCCACCAATAAGAGACATCACTGTTTCTGTTTAGGGTAGGCTGGTTCTTTTCTATGATAATCATTAATAAAAGGCTTTAAAAAGTAAAATGAAATGAAATAAAACAAGCTTAATATCAAGATTCAAGATCACTTTATTTGTCACGTACATAGTTGTACCAGTTTAACACACAGTGAAATGTGACCTGATACGCTCCTCAACTGTGCAAAATAGAGAGACAAAAAACAATATATACAGTAAGTAAGTAGATATATACAAAGAGGACATTAAGTGTGATAAGTGAGTGAATTATGTACATTAAGTTAGAATAAAACAATCTGGAAATTTACAGTTCAAAATTTGGGAATGTACATTGTGTGAGTGGGGTGTTAAAGTGGCTTGTGCCACAATGAAGTCAGAAGGATCAGGCATGAAATGGGAATATGTGAGTCCTTTCTCAGTTCGTTATGGTTGATTGGGGGGGGGCTGAGTTAACACACAGATGGCCTGAGGGTAGAAGCTCCTCTTGAGCCTCTCTGTTCTTGTCCGCATGGTGCAGAACCTTCTGCCTGATTGCAGAAGCTGGAACAGTTTATTGCTGGAGCGGAACGACTCCTTCAGTATCTGAGCTGCTCTAGTCCAGCATCTCTTGGTGTAAATGTCCTGTAGGGAGGGGAGAGCAGTCCTGCAGCAGTGTTCTGCTGTACGGATCACTCTCTGAAGAGCTTTTTGGTCCTTAATACAGCTGTTCCCATTACCATGATGTGATGTTCTGTGTGAGGATGCTCTACGCAGCGCCTGTATAGAAAGTCCTGAGGAGCCCCGGAGAGACCCCGAACTTCCTCAGTTGTCGTAGGTGGTACAGGAGCTACCTAGCCTTTTTGGACTTGTGATTTTTGTAGACTGTAAGTAGAGCAGGGTGATATGACCAAAAATATTTATCACGATATACATTTGAAAATTTGCGATAACGATATAACTGACGATATAACTGACACTAGACAAAATACTTTACAACTCCACAACTTTATTAGTGCAAAAAACCCCATCAATGTATTTTCACTTGAACAAGCAGCTGTTTTTTAAGTGCATTAAAGTTATATAACATTTAAGAGTGCAAATGCAAATTCCTTGCTGACAGTTTAACCAAAAGGCATTTCCAGTGAAATGGGCTGACATATTATGACCATAACCATGTATAATATCCACAAAACTTAAAAAGAAGTTTTATATACACACACACACACAAACACACAATGCAGCACAGTACGTATCACTCCGCGAGGCTCCTGACTACGATAGCTGTAATGCTCCAACAATCCATCAAGCGGTGCGGCTTCGTAGCTTAGCAAAGTCGCACTAAAACATTTGACAGATTTTCGAGCGCCGTGTACATAAAATCATTTCGAGGCCAGTAAACACAACCAGAATTCATACATAAGGCACACGGGATTATAAGGGGCTCTGTCGATTTTTAGAAAAATCAAAGGATTGATTTTAAGTGTGCCGTATTTTCCAAACAACACGGTAATAACGACGGCCCGCTAGCGTGCTCTATGAAAAATAGTGCTTTGTTGTGTGTCTGACGGACGAAAGCTAAACCAGTTCCACACCACTGAAGTTGCAGCATTTTTACAAACCAATTCTGGTTCATCCGTTTCATTCAACGATCCACTTTCGCTCTTCTCATTTTCTTCTCATTCTGCGTCGCCACCATGTGCGTATGTAAACAAAGGTACTGTGCATGCGCGTTTTGCCCATATTCTATCGCGATATGTCATTTTCCTATCGTTGCCCAAAATTACACCGGTATTACCGTGAACGGTATGATATAGCCCAGCCCTAACTGTAAGCATATTGTGCTCTAAAAATTTACACCAGATCATTTCAAACGTGGAAAACATTCCTGCAAAAAGCTGCAGTGCATCAAGGCATGTGAGGGTGCCACCAGGGAGCGCCTCAGCTGATGAAAATATTTTATATTTATGTAGTTTATTTAACACGATCAACATCTCACTGTGACACCAGTCACGCCACAATCTGAGCTCACTGTCTCTAAAACATTTGTGTGTAAATGATCACCATTTATTCAGGTTTTGATTCATGCTTTTGTAAAATAGTGTTGTGTGTGTGTTTTTTGTATCAACACCTTCTCGATTATTGTTCTTGTGTTTCTTTGTTTTCTCAAGGCCTCCCACAACAGCATGACTGTGAGGAAGAGGAGGGTCTGGATGAGCAGCAGGTCTGTAACCAGCAGAGGAACTCCAGTCTGGACCAGGAGGACCCAGAGCCTCCACAGATTAAAGAGGAACAGGAGGAGCTCTGCAGCAGTCAGGAGGGAGAGCAGCTTGGACTGAAGCAGACTGAAGGCATTATCGTCTGGACTGATGAAGAGCAGCTCAGACTGCTGGGGACCATCTGGAAACCTGAGATAAACTTGCACAGAAAGGGTATGTAAAACTATGATGGGCTTAATGACAATGAATATGACTCACGTAGGATCCTAATCAGAGCTTAAAGTTATTTTTTTTTTGTCTTTTTAGAGGCACAGGAAGAATTGAAGTCCAACTGTAATAAGCAACATGAAGTCATACTACTGCTTGCTCATCATCACCTCTCTCCTTAACCTAACTTCAGCTAACGTTTCGCATATCTGGCTTATTAGCTGTAGTTACTACAACCCTGCACGCGGCCCTTGTTCCTGAAATAAATACCACTCGATTTCTCGTTTCTACAGAAAAGCAAAGGGGCCAGTAGGAAAATAAGGAATGGGGGAGTCATATCCCTATATTTAACAATGATAATAACAAAACTTATTTGTATAGCGCCTTTCAAGAAACCCAGGGGCACTGTACAAAGGAGTTTAAATAAATCAATTTATAAACATACAAAAATGCTAGAGTTTGAAAGGCTTTGTTGAAGAGGTCAGTTTTACGTTTCTTAAGAGTCCAGTGATGAAGTGTTGCAAAACTACAATGGGAGAGTGTTTCAGAGGGTCGGGGCTGCCACACAGAAGGCTCTGTCACTAGAGGTTAACGCGAGGGACAGAACGCAGATGCAAGGCAGAGCACCATAGTGTCTGAGACTGTGCGTTTGGCTTCAGCAGGTCGCACAGGTATTGAGGGTCGGGGCAGTGAAGAATTTTTGAGTGAGACTTTGGGGGCCACAAACAGGAGCACTGTTTTATTACTGTTTATATTGGGGGGGGGGGTTAGATGGCACGTGATTGTGAGGGTAAGTTGTGTATCTTCAGCATAGAAATGGAAGCAGAGACCATGGTGGTGGGAAATCTGAGCAGGGGGTACATATAAGCCCCTTTTCCATTAATGCCTATTCAAATCGACTCGGTACGATACGCCACGACTCAACTCAAATTGATCGATTTTCCATTATAACCAAGTATGCGTGTGTGGTGAACCGTGCCAAGTCCAGCTGAGTAGGTGGTAATGAAGAAAGGGCATAGATGGTGAAAAGAAGAGGTCCATGCACAGACTCTTGAGGCGTAACAACTACAGCAGAGGTGGAGCAGACATCTTCCATGGTGACAAACTGTGTTGGTTTGCAGAGATGACACTGAAAGTAAAGTACCAGTGAGGTCAAGATAAGGTTAGCCTGTACTCTAACCTTCATGTTCCTGCCTTTTCTTCTCTAACAATGCCTCACCCACTCCTCTTCCTTTGTCTTTAACCAAGACACAGGCCTAAGAGTTAAGAGCAGAAGGTTACTGAGATTTAAAATGACTCAGATGTTTGGGTTGTTGTTGTTTTTTTCTATCATTTCTCCCAATTTGTCTCTTCAGACCTCCGACACCAACACATTTGTGAGAAGGAAGTTCTCACAGACCAGCAGGCCTGTAACCAGGAGAAGAACTCCAGTCTGGACCAGGAGGATCCAGCGCCTTCACATATTAAAGAAGAACAGGAGGAACTCCGCAGCAGTCAGGAGGGAGAGCAGGTTGAACTGAAGCAAGAGACTGATATCTTCATGGTGACTCGATCTTATGAGGAAAGTGACCACAGTGAACCAGAGTCAAACAAAGAGCAGCTCCTTTTTCACAGCTCTCCTGAAGCAGAGAGCCAAGATCATGAAGACAAGCATGTGGACTCAGAATCAAGTAAAAATGCAGAGCTGAAGAAGAGGAAACACAGTCAGAGCTTGGACAACACCACTGTGTCGGAGAGTCAAAGTAAATCTGACAAAGTGAAAAAGTATGTACAATGTGAAATCTGTGGGAAAACCTTACATACATCTAATCTGACTGCACATTTAAGAGTTCATACAGGTGAGAAACCACATTGTTGCACCACTTGTGGCAAAGGATTCATTCAGAAATCAAATTTGAAGCGTCATTTGAGAACACACACAGGTGAGAAGCCATTTACTTGTAGCACCTGTGGGAAAAGTTTCGGTCTGAAACCAGAGTTGCAGCGCCATCTAAGAATTCACACAGGTGAAAAGCCACATTGTTGTAACACTTGTGGGAAAAGATTTACTGACCTGTCAGGGATCATAGCTCACAGGAGAGTCCACACAGGTGAGAAGCGGTATTCTTGTAGTACTTGTGGGAAAAGATTCATTCAGAAATCAGGAATGAAAACTCATGTAAGAAGTCACACAGGTGAGAAGCCGTATTCGTGTAGCACGTGTGGGAGAAAATTTAGTCATAAATCAACACTGCAAACTCACGTAAAACTTCACACGGGAGAGAAACCACATTCTTGTAGCATCTGTGGCAAAAGCTTTGTTCAAAAGCCACACTTAAGTAGGCACATGAAAATTCATACTACTTGAAGTTTCGTGCTTAGATAAGATAGCTGTGAGTAGTAGTAGTAGTCTGTTGGTCATAAAGCTCACACTGACCAGAAGTTTAATGACTGCAACACTTGAGTGAAGAAGTCAGTATTTTTTGTGTAGAGCAGAGCAGTAAAAATGTTTTTATTTAAGGATGATACGTTAAGATTTCTGCATTTTAAAGCCTATCACAGCTGACGTAGGCTGATATGGGTATGCCCTGGACAGGTCAGCTCCTGAGCTAAAACATAGATGGTCAATTATTCACACCTATGGGCAATTTGGCAAGTAACTAATGCACCAGTTAATATAAAAAAGTATAAAATCAAACCCTTAAAAAACAGCAATAACAACAATATTCATAATAAAACAATCAGGTGTCACAATAAGATGCCTCTACAAAAACAGTTCCTGTCCACCACAAGTCAGAGGGGCACATCACAGTCCTGATATTTCCGGGGTGTGTCACTCCTCTTGCTGTCCACCTCGAGACGGTGTATAAATAAGCGTTTGCCTTTAGTGCCTTTTTGGACGGCATCGTTGTCTGTGACAATGGGAACACAATCTTCTCAGCTCTTCTGCTGTGAGGAATGCCTGTCTCCATGCTGACACACCAGCTCCGCCACAAATTCTTTGTGTGCCATGGGCAGCACCTGCATGGCACTGATCGCCTCACGGTGCAAGAGGAATGCTTTTCTTGTCTCAATCTCCAGGAAGTGTAAGAGCACGGTCCCGTACCAGCAGCAGTCTTGCTGTGGGTGGACTAATACTGAATGAACTGGTCTAGTATGTCAGCCCCTCTCACAGCCCAGTGTCCATCTGCATCCTCCACCTTTCTCTTCACCCTGGACATACAGGTGGATGGTGGTGCACACAGGCACCTCCCACGTGTCCATCCACTTCACAATATCAAGTGGGTCATCTCTGATCCATCTCACAGATCCTAATTCGCATTTTTTTGTTGAGAGTATTTTCCCTCCCTCCCAGGCATTCCCTGTGTAGATACTACATGCACCACATCTTGTGCTGGTCAGATCCAGGAACATTTGGGACTGGTATAAAACAACTGTCCATGTAAACATGGCATCCTGTGCTAAGCAACAGCTGAAAAAGGTTCATCACCACATCATAAGACATCATCACTTGCTTTTAAAGTCTTAACAGTGTATGTGATGAATCTAAAGGTTGATTCAGCCAATGTAAAACCTTTCATCCCTCATTTAGTTGGTTTGACCGTCATGTATTGTGTCATGCCAGGCTTTGCTTTAGGTGCCACCATCCTTTCATCAACTGCCAGTTCCCTCCTCGGGTGTTAATAAGCTGGCTGCCACAGAGGATTTCATAATTTTTTACCACCTACTCAGGATCAGTGAGGTGGATGTTCCAAAATATGGCTCTGGACCTGTCTCTTGTCTATATGTCATTGATGAAAGGGGCACAGACAAGGCATGATTGTGTCTCCATGATTGTGTAGTCTTAGTCTTGGCAGCGATATGTAAATCCCGAGACCAAAAAGCTGATAGACATCTTCTGTTTCTACATCAGTCCATTTGTGTTCTTTGGCTAAAAACTGATTTTTTTTTTTCTATTTTTTGCAGCATTTTGGTTTGTGTCAGCACAGCTTGTGCTGAGTGTGTCAGTGGCGAAAAACAATAAAAACGGGTCTTTTAGACTACAGCATTCTCTCAGTTGTCACAGGAGTTACGTCCCGGGACCCCCGCGATAGGGGAAAAGTAGGAAATTGTGTCTTTATAGCAAAAATAATTAGAATTATAATCTAAAAAAAAAAAAGAGAGAATACCATATCACGGGTTTCGGCGGCATAAAGATGCTTTTTATTTTATTTTATTTTTTTAGAATAATTATTGTATATTCAAAAATGTATTAATTATTTATAATTTGCAATAATTATTATTGTTGATTAATTATTATGTTTTAATTAATTTATCAGGTTTCTGCACCCTCTTTGCAGAGGCCCTCGTTCTCTCAAAAAATTAGATTTGAGTAAGAGTACAAACTCATTCTGATTTAAAAGCCAAGGAATAAAAGTGGGTATTTAGACGAGCTTTGAAAGTGTCCAATGTTGGGGAGGTCCTGATGTGGTGAATTGTTCAACCAATACTTTGTTTTTTTGCCCCCGATCACAAGGGCATGCGCCGTGCTTAGAAAACCCTTCCTATCAACACAATGTTAAAACTGGTAGTTTTTAGTCTTCACTGTCAACTCAAATTGAGACGGATTCAGTGAGACTGCATCTTGCTACTTCATAATTTTAATTCCGCGAGCTTGTTTGGAGGCACTGGTGTGTCTGTCGACTAAAGACATAACTTTACCTTTGCATTTAAAATTTAGTGACTAATATTTTTATTTTTCAGTGGCAAAGTATTCAAAATCTGTGGATCTTTAACTCTAGCAGAGAGCAGATGATAATTGTACAAGTCAAACAGTTCAATATTTGTACAATCTCTTGTTTCGGGCATTTTTCTAAAATGGGCTTCAAATTATAATTGATGAGTCCGTATTACTTCCCAACATGTTAATTAATTAACATGTATTTTTTTCTGATCAATAATTATGGAAAAACTATCACATAATTGTCTTATGATTGATTGAGAAACACGTTGACAGTTTTTAATTTTTTTAATTGTTCAAAGACAGGAAATTATTTTGGAGTCACTGTGAGACACGAATCATGTGCCTGTTCAGTAAACCTTCAACCTTTTGAGTTTTTGCTGTTTTTAAATGATAATAGCAAACAATCAACTTGAACACTGCTGCTAAGAATGCAGATATGACTTAAACCAGTTATATCCTCTCAGTGTTGTTTATTCAGTTTATATTATTTATTTTATTATTGTATCAGAAAAATCCTGATCCTAGATTTGATGAAGGTTAAAGTTGTTTTGCTCTGATGGTTCATTGTTTAGTTCTGTTGTTTATTAGTGTTTATGTTGTCTTAAAGTTTAAATAAAAACTTGATTCAAACATCTTTTGAGTATTTTTTTCTGAGATGAAACCTCTAATATGAACATGTCTCGGGGCATTGTACTTGGTATAAGCAGCACTGACTAACCAGGAATCCAGTGGTGGGAAGGGTCAATTAAAAGCCTTGAATGAGGTTTGCTCTATTTCTAAGTAACTCCCAAGTAACTGGTATCCTGATTAAATTACCTGGAAGAAATCGACTGGATGGCTGAGCCACGGAAAATAGTGGAGGCTCTCTGATGATGGTTTCACTCATGTTTACAGCGCAGCTAATTAGAACACTGTAGATTTAGACATTTTTGTTATTTTGCAATAAGAAAGTTGCACCAATCTGAAATTATATGCAAATAACTTGGAGTGATTTAAAAGCTTTTCTTCTTTGGGAATGCGCTTGGACTCTAGAACAGGGGTGTCAAGCTCCAGTCCTCGAGGGCCGGGTTGCAGCAAGGGATAGATATAAGTTTCATGACACTGGCTTGTGCTTTCAGGTGCATGATGGATATAGGCATATCATATGGAGCTGCTATGAGCTGAAATGGTGTTTGCCCCCTTGCTGTTTTGTTTTTTCTTTTAATTTTGTCACACTTAAATGTTTCAGATCATCAACTACATTTAAATAATAAAGATAACACAAGTAAACACTAAATACAGTTTCTAAATTAATGTGTTAATTATTGCTGCTTGACCCCACCCACCATTATAACATAAATTAACCTTGGTGTACCACATCTTTGGAAAGTTCTATTTCTCTAGCTGCATCCAGGCCTGAATACTGCCACACTTGTTCTTAATCAAGAAATCACTTAAATAGGACCTGCTTGACAAAGACAAGTAGACCGTGAGATTCTTAAAAGCCACATGTCTCGCTGTGATCCAAGGAAATTCAGGAACAAATGAGAACAAAGTAATTGGGGTCATGCTCATAAACCTTCCAATGTGGCTTAAGCACAAGAATTCTGCAAAGATGAGTAGACCAAGATTCTTCCACAGTGCTGTAAAAGACTCATTGACAGTTATCACAAACGCTTGATTGCAGTAGATGCCTTTAAGGGTGGCCCAAACACTTATTAGGTTTAGGAGGCAATCACTTTTTTCACACAGGGCATGCAGGTTTGGATAACTAACAGGTTTGCTAACATGTCCAGAACTGAAGTGTTCTAGTTTTTATTTGACTATGAATTTATTTCAACAGTCTGAAAGAAATTCTTTCTAAACAAAATTTGTTCCATTTAATTTAAAGTTTACCCCAATATGTAGCAATGTTTTATAATAAAGTTTTAGTGTAGCTGCCCTTTAGTGAGAAACAAGAAGATTGTGTTAGTGACGTGGTTATTGATGTGGTCTTGCTGCACAAAGGCTCTGGTTCAAACTTCACGCTCAGCTGGAGCCTCTCTGTAGAGTTTACCTTCTCCCACAGTTTAAAAAGATGTGCTAAATACCTTAACTAAAAAACGTACCACAGACATTAACATGAGGAAACAGTTCTATTGAAAACTGATCCACAGATTGTCTGAGATCCCCAAGGTAACATTTTGATAAGAGCTATGAAGTGCTGATCACATAGAGCTGCTGTACCATTATCGAAAGCTGAGCCAAGGAAACATGTTTCTACAAAAGACTAAAGCTACAACATTTAATAACAGCTGCTGCTAATCCAACATGGTTTACAATCCTACTGTTACTGTTAATTAGACACAAAAACACCCGAGGTAACTATGATGTATTTACTACCATGCCTTTTTTTTTTTTTTTTTTTTGGCCTGTCCCGTTTGGCTCTTTTGCCATCAGAATTGTTGTCTAAAGGCAAAGAAAGATGCCCAACGGATTTACTTTACCAAACTGACCATCCCAGCCTTGCCGTAATGGTCCATTTGATTCACCTTTTATTGTTTATTTTATTTTCACTTACTGAATACGGGACAGACTTGACTGGGGGAAAGAAGGAGAAGGAGGAAAGAGAAACAGCTGAGAAGAGGGACGGGGGAGAAGGGCAAAAAACAAAAACCAACAAAAGCAGAGAAAAAAAAAATGCATATATCAATCACCTGGATCACCTGCTGAGAAAGAAAAAAGAAAGCAAGCAGAAGAGAACAAGAGTAATAGAATAAACAACATCACAATGATATATGGGAATATGACAGTAAATACTAAATGTTAAACATTATTGTGCAGCACATAAGATCAACAGAACACAGTGTGCTTTGAGGTAGGAGCCAAAAAGGGTGTAGTTTGTGGGTGTGATCACCCGTGTGTACACCTGTGAGCATGGACGCGCTTGTTTTTTGTTTTTTTTAAAAGGTTCCTTCATGTAATATCTGCTAGAGGGTGTGGGGGGGCCACAGCCCCGTCCTCCAGGGCATGAAGCAGGTGATGGAGGAGATCAAAACTCCAGACATCCAGAGGCCCCCAGAACACAAGAGACCAAGGAAGACCAACAGAGGGGCAGCTGCGCCACTGTCCCGAAAGAGCTGAGGAGAGTCCCAGATGAGGGCTCACTCAGCAGCCGCGGAGCAGAAGCCAGGGGGAGTTGCAGTGACGAGCCCGTGAGCTCCGCCGGCAGCCAGCTGCGCTGAGTGACCGAGCCCCAGGCCGAGAGGCCGGGGGCACCCCACCTCCGAAGTGGCCCGAGCGAGCCCCAGGCTCCAGGCCCCGATAAGCGGCCGCCAAGGAGTGAGCCGGTGTGTACCTGGACGCCCATCCCCGGACACAAAGAACCACCAACGCACCGATGTCTGAGGGGGTCCGCCACTGGCAGGGGAAGTGGTGGTAGGGGGGAGATAGGCCTCCAAACCTTGGAGGGCCTGAGATGTCCCCAGAGAGGTGGCGTCTGATACCCAACCTGACATATAGACACAGACATACAGGCACACACAGACACAAACATCCATTCCCACCCTCATGCTCTCATATGCACTTACTCCACACTCAACCAACGTGGAGACAGACATAAAGAGACGTTGTACACACGATCACACTCCCCAAGCGTACTCTACGAACCGGGTCTAGGTCCCGCCCCTGGAGGGGGGAACTGCACCCAGACCCAGGTGGTGTTTCCCTTTTCCCTGCGGTGGGGGGAGGCAGACCGCCCCGACTCCGCAGCAGCAGGAAGGCTCCACACTCCAGACCGCAGTCGGACGGCCAACTCCTCCTCCTAGTCCAGCCCCCCTGCTCCAGCAGGTCGCAGAGAATCAGGGGTGAGAGAAGACTCCAAACCTCCCTCCACCCGCTCATTGTAGTGTTGATGCATGTGTGTTCTAAGGTGCATTTAAAACCCAGGAGGGCATGGAGCTACCTGCCAGAGAGCAGCAGGTAAGCGCATGGTCCCTCCTGCTAGCCCTCAATGTCTACGTGTATTTAAACATTGAGAGGTGGGCAACGATGCCAGGGGTGGGGTGTACACCCTGATGGTACTTTGGATTCCGTGTATCGTGCCCACCCCCAAGATCCTATATGTATGTGTAATGAGAGTGTGAGTAATGTGAATGTCTAAGTTGTGGGATAAAATTGAGGCAGAGGCAGCCAGAAGGGGACAGGGGGGGGGGTAGCCTCCTCTGCACCCTGGTGACAACCCCTACTCCAAGGCTCCTGCATGTGTGGGTGTGCACTATGATGTATTTACTACCATGCCATATGCCAGTCAGGGGTATCTGGAGCTCTCAAGTGCTTGCCGTGAAATTGAGTCTGGATTTCGTGAAAAAAGGAAATTGAAATTGAATGACCCCCCCCCCCCCGCTCCTCATTCATCATCGGGTCGTCTGCTTGTCTTCACCTCTGTTTCTCCTGCTTAACCTCCCCTGCTCATCATTTAGCTCTGGGGGTTCCTTGGAGATGCCGTAAAGCTCCACCTGCTTCCTCGCCAGCAAACTTGCTTCCTAAGCTGCAAGTGTGATATCTCCATTTTTCCATGGATACACAGTCTTTAGCCTCAGTGCTGCTGTCCTGCGCGCTGAGGCACAGCTGTTTAGCTCACCAGCTTCTTCTTCCCGGAGAAAGCAGCACTAATGTTGCAGATTAGAAACTGAAACTGTCTGATGCTTTAAAGTGCAACAACTTAGAAAAACAAAGTTTTCCTTGCGACCTGTTCATGAACATCCTTTGTTGCCCAAACCCTCAAAATACTGAACAAAATCTTTTTTGTTTAAAACAGCTCCCTGATGAAATATGATTCTTAGTTGCTCGATCATGTTTAATTTCGGTACTAAGGAAATGTTCATTTCAGCATCTTAGCTTAGCTTAATTTAGTAACACAATCTTTACTTTCACATCACTGAAGAGAGGTCACAAAACAAAACTGGATGATCAATTCTTGTTCTGTTGTACAATGCCACACAGTTTGTTTTCCTTGTATACTGTCTGTGCTGCTGTGTGCTGTGCTGCACTCACGCAGAGATAAGAGTACATGTACAGTTATCCCACTGACACAGAGAGGAGAAAAATAGAAAGAACAATCTAAGCCTTGGATTAAAACAAACATAATTATGTAAATGAATAGTGTTCAAGTAAAAAATAAGACTGTTATCATATATGCTTTGATAAATGAATCACGATAGAGTTGCTTTATCGAAATGTTTTTGTTATCATACAAAGAATTTGTGGACAAATACAAAATATTCATACAACTAAAAGTATCAACTGAGGTTTTTAATGCTGCACCTAAACGTGTCCTCATAATGTTACCAAAGTCAGCAGGAGGACCTGTGATTCGTACGAACCTGTTTATCCTGTTTTCTGTGATATGAATAAAGTTTTGGAGGAGAAAAAACATTCCTCACGTGACTGGAGCAAACCACTGCAGAGCAGGGGAGGAGCCAAGAGCGGGGTGCGCAGACATGGCTGCTGTTTGACGAAGCGGATCGAAATTAAAGGCGAGACACAAACCGTCACGTCAGTGTGGATCTGATCCCAACGTCTGTATCGCTTCTATCGATGCTTGTATCGATCCGTCCAGCCTGAGTTGAAGCAGCAATGAGTTCAGCTCAGTATCTGAGAGAGTTCATCAAGGAGAGACTAACTGCTGTTTGTGAAGAAATCTTCTCAGAGGTTCAAAAAACCATCGTCCAGTATGAGGAGGAGATCAACCGTCAGCACAGACTGCTGGATATCAGCCGGAAACCCGACAGAAGCTCACACATCATAGGTATGGACGTGTTTTTAACTCTGTGCTGTTCAAGCTCAGATTCTTCAGTGTGACTGACTTTACTAGAAGATGTTAAACTGTGTGTTCCAGGTTTACTGTTGTTTGTCAGCATTTCGACAAAACTCCGGACGAAAATTGGAGTTTAAAAAGACCCGTGTTCAGACGTAAACACTACGACGTAAATAGTCAGTAAGATTAAAAAATATAATGCTAATAATCAAATAACAGGATTTCAGTTGTTGGCCAGTATAGCCACCAGCTCAGCCTGTAGATTAGTGAGTTAGAACTAAGAAACTATTCGCTGTTATTTATTTATTTATACTTACTGACTAAATTCAAACAGACCTGAGTTTACTTCAAAGGCTGAGCAGATGTAGGACAATTCAGTGTTTCCACAAACATGAAGAGATGTTTGTGGAAACACTGCAGGCAGACATGTGACCAAAGGCCATGATGTTACTGTAGAGACAGACTGACCTGCCTGTCAGGTCAAATGTGCAGTTAGTTTGTAGTAAAAGACTAACTATGATTAATCATTTCCCTAACAATCACTGCACCCCCACTCAATTTTAGATAGTCAGTGCACTGGTTTACATGCTGACACACCTGAGTGACAAACCGTCTGTCAATTAAATCATCACGTTATTCATCAAACCATTCTGCTTCCCTGAGAATCTTTTTTTGTTGTGTTTACATTCTCAGGCTGATTGTACGCACATCACCACTTTAACATCCTGTAAATTGCATCTGTCTGTTGATTTTGTTAAATGAGTTGTGTTATTGTTGGGATCCATGTGAGCAGCTGGTGAACTGATGGAAGCACATTTTCTTATTTTATGCAATTTTATGTACCTGCCTGTCAAGCTGACTGACCAACACAGTGTAACTTACAGAAGGTGAAGGCATCCATTCAAACGGGTCAGAGGCATATCAAGAAAACCATTACATGGGAACTACATTACAGAGGTACACAATTACAAGTCTGATCACCAGGGTTCATTACATATATTTACCTTTGATCAAGACATTGTTTTTGTAACACTGCATGTAGATTATATTAACACAGACATATTTTGTATGAACGGCTGTTTGCAACTTGTTGTATTGGCAAATTCAGTGAAACCACTGAAAGGCATTGCAGCTCCATTTAAAGACACTTATCAGCACCAAGTGCTCTAAACTTACTATGACAGGTATGCTGCATGCTGAAATAAATATAATTTACTTACCAGCCTACTGGGGAAAAAATTATTCCACTGTGGTGCGTTTATAAACTTTTGGTCAACGTGGTTGCTGCTAAGTGTCAATCATTCCCACCTCTTGAACTACAACCATTTTCTTCTGCTTATCCAGGACCGAGTTGCAGGACAGCAGCTTAAGCAAGGAAGTCTGTACCTCCCTCTTCCCAGCTATCCCCTCCATCATATCAGGGATAACAACGTAGCTGAGAGATATAATCTCTTCAGCATGTCTTGAACCTGGGTATCTTTTCTGGTGACATGGTTGAAAAACCTTTTCTGGGAGCCCAGGAGTCACCTAAGAGCTTTTCAGGTGCCTGAACTTCCTCAACTGGCAATTTCAATGTGGGGCAGTATTGACTCTACTATCAGCTTCTTACCTTATCTCTAACGAGGGGTCTGGTCAGTCTAGACCCTTTTGCTTTTGGTATCTTTCAGCTTCATTCACTAGCTCAGGCTCCTTCACCACTTGATAGCTGAGGATTGTGTGTCAGACCACCGCCTGACACACATTGGCTCTAACTCATAGGCCAAAGGTGTCAAACTCCAGGCCTCGAGGGCTGCTGTCCTGCTTGTTTTCCTACTAACTGGTAAATGGCCTGTATTTGTATTTGTAAAGCGCTTTTCTAGTCCTTAGAAAAGCGCTTTACACAACCAGTCATCCACCCATTTACACACACATTCACACACTGGTGATGGCAAGCTACATTGTAGTCACAGCCACCCTGGGGCGCACTGACAGAGGCGAGGCTGCTGGACACTGGCACCACCGGGCCCTCTGACCACCAGTAGGCAACGGGTGAAGTGTCTTGCCCAAGGACACAACGACCGAGACTGTCCAAGCCGGGGCTCGAACCGGCAACCTTCCGATTACAAGGCGAACTCCCAACTCTTGAGCCACGATCGCCCCTTGAAGCTTCTTAATGGCAAAGCACACCTGATCCAGGTAATTGGCAGCAGATATCTCAAAAACAAGCAGGATGCTGGCCCTCCAGAACTGGAGTTTGACACCCCTGCCCTAGGAGATGGGACTACAGGAGTGAGCCCATCTATCTTCTTCGGGCTCTAACTAGCTAGGGTATGGCAGGGGTGGCAAACTCCAGGCCTCGAGAGCTGATGTCCTGCAGGTTTTAGATAACACCCTGGGTCAACACACCTGAATCAAATGATTAGTTCATTACTGGGCTTCTGGAGAACTTCAAGAAATATTGGAGAGGTAGTTTAGCCGTTTAAATCAGCTGTGATGGATGAAGGACACATCTAAAACCTGCAGGACACCGGCCCTCGAGGCCTGGAATTTGCCACCCCTTTATCACGATATATATTTGAAAATTTGCAATAACGATATAACTGACAATATAATTGATGCGAGACAAAATACAGAATACAACTTCACAACTTTACTAGCGCAAAAAAACCCATCAATTTATTTTCACTTAAACAAGCAGCTGTTTTTTTGTGTGCATTAAAGCTCACTGCACACTGGATTATAAGGTGCACTGTCGATTTTTGAGAAAATTTAAGGCTTTTACGAGCACCTTATAGTCCCATAAATATGGTAATAACAATGGCCTTTTTGCATGTTCTACCAAAAAATTGTGCTTTGGTGGCTATCTGATAGACAAACACCAAACTAGTTCCACACCACTGAAGTTGCACCATTTTTACAAACCAATTCATCCATTTCACTCAACGATCCACTTTCCCCCTTCTCATCTTCCCTTGCCGCCATGCTTTTCCGGCCATGTGCGTATGAAGTCAAAGGCGCTGCACATGCGCATTTTACCCATATTCTATATAACATTGTACCGGTATTACTGTGAACGGTATAATATGGCCCAGCCCTACTCCCTACCCAGGTCTGGTTCCAGGGAGCATGTTTCTGCTATTGATTGTGTATACAAATGTTTTTGTTCACACTATATTTTAATATATTTAAATAATGCAAACACTTAAAAAACTCACAGGTGATAGTTTTTACCTCCCCAGTCAACTCAAACACTGTGTCTGGCATTTATGTAGTTTATCGAGTTTAGGCTATCAGGTCACTGTTTACCTCATAATGTTGATTGTGGACATTCCCAACTATTTACTTTGGAGGAGATTATAAAACTTTGTAAAAGGAGTAAATGAGTCAGGGAACACTTGGACACTTGGTGATTGAACTCTCTGTGATGTGAGAATGTAATTAAACTGTTTATTGGAGGGAAAGTTGCATGTTGAAAATTCCTAATTGCAACAATATCATAAATAAATAAGCATGTTCATGCACCTTTGTGTGTGTTATACCCTTGACTAAAGTTCAGGCGATGAGGTTTGAGGTGTAGATGAGAGACAAAAGAGACCGTGGTGGAGGAGGCATGTGAAGAACAGAAGGAGAAAGAAATAATGGGAGATACATATGGAGTGTCCAAATTCATGGGCTGCATCCTTCTGAGGCCGCAATTGTAGGCCATTTATGTCACAATGACGCGACAAAGGCTGTCCAAATTTGTAGACTGTTCCGAATGCAGCCGACAAATGCATCCTCCTCTTCCCCGAATTTGAAGGATGGTACGGGTGTGTCCTTCGTGGCCCACCATATCCCAGAATTCATAGCGCAGCCCAGCCAAGTTTTAATATTTCTCTTAATGCTCTTTTTGGGTCACAAATAAACTTTTAACATATTTTCAGGTGTGATTGTTGCTGTGTAAACTTCAAATATCTGCTTGGTTTATCAAGATATCAAATATTTGCAGAAGTGCTTCGACGTTTTCAGAGACGTCTGTTATCCACCAGCTCGATAGCTAGCCGGGAGCTTGATGGTCAATAGAGCAGGCGAGAATAGCAAATTCACGGCACATCATTTCACTACCCAGGTTAATCATGATATATATGTCACTTAGATAACCTAAAAATGTTATTGTTTGGCTTTTTTCAGTTTTATTTGTTCGTGAGTAAATCGGTTTGGCTGAGATTAAAGTTATTCGATTAGATTAGATAAAATAAAACTTCCCTTGGGTGGCTTCCTCCTTGGTTTTCACACAGCTGAATAAATGTAAGCTGTATTTAGGCATTTAAAATGTTTATCAGATATGGCCTTTCTTAGAGAACTCTCAGGAATCAGGAACATTCTAATAAGAGGTTTGTTAGGGTAGAAACAGTTAAGTGTTCCACCTCCTTTAGGTTAAGATGAGCAATTGGGGGGGTGCTCAGGTCATTGCATCAGCACCTCACCGTATAACCCTGACTTCAGCAAATATAAGAAAAAATTTTGGTAATTTTTTTCATCATCTCCAAAACTTTCCTCCTTGATCCTTTGCTCATACTGAGGCTACTGGCTTGTGACTGGCTCTGGCTATTTTAGCTTCAGCCACTTTCAGCAACCTTGTTACCTTCTTTAACAGGTTCATATTTAAGTTTCTGATAAGGGTTGTTAGAAACATTTTCATGGCAGTCAACCTGCAGTTTACTTTGACGTTTTTGTTGACAGTGAGGAGCTTTGACATTAACAAAATGTGGTAACTGTAAATCTTACCAATTGAGACATCACTGTTTCAGTTTGCGATCGTAGGTAGCTTTGTTCTTTTCCACAAAGGCTTTTTTGTTCAAACATGCTTGATATCATGTAGCACATACCATCGTTTCACAGTGTCGTAGCCTTTAGCAAGTCTACTTATATGGTCACAACATTATGCTCATAATCAAAATCCCTGAATGGGATTTTCACTTTGAGCTTCACTGTTGAGCTCTATTGTGACGGTGGTTATTAACTTTCCCTGTTCAGACAGTCTTTCTGCTTCCTGACACCAAAACCCAACATAAATGCTGCAAATATGACAAGAGCAGTGTCAGCAGAACCCTATTAAGCTTGTATATTCACAAATTTATATATTTATATACTAATATATATAAGCTAGGTGCTCTTTATTTCTGATGTGACATTTACACATTTGAGCCCTGAAACTTTTAATTTTAAATTTAAGCATTGAAAATATGTATATATTTTCTGCTCATCAGGACCTGTAAATCCACCCCCCCAAGCATCTGAGGGTGCCTCGTGTGATGAAAATATTGTACATTCATATATTTCTTGAGCATGACTGGGACCTCACTGTGGCACCAGTTATGCTGAGCTTTGTAGTTTTTGTATAATTACATGAGTGACCTTGTTTGTTTGTTTTTTTTCTGTTTGTTTTAGTTCCTGAAGACCTCCCACAACTACACGACTGTGTGGAAAATGAGAGTGTGGATGAGCAGCAGGTCTGTAACCAGGAGATGAACTCCAGTTTAATCTTTTTCCAGATTAAAGAGGAACAGGAGGACCCAGAGCCTCCACAGATTAAAGAGGAACAGGAGGAACTGTGCAGCAGTCAGGAGGGAGAGCAGCTTGGACTGAAGCAGGAGGCTGATACCTTCATGGTGACTCTAACTTATGAGCAAAGTGACCACAGTGAACCAGAACCAAACAGTGAGCAGTACCTTCCTCTCAGCTCTCCTGAAGCAGAGCTGAAGAAGAGAACAGATCATGGTAAAAGTCTAGACGACACTCTTGTGTCAGACAGTCAGAGTAAAACTCATACAAGGAAAAATTCTGTGCAATGCAACACCTGTGGAAAAATGTTTCCCTATAGATCCCATCTGATTACACATCTGAGAGTTCACACAGGTGAGAAGCTGTATTCTTGTACCGTTTGTGGGAAAAGATTTGGTCAGAAATCCGATTTGGAACGTCACGTAAGAATTCATACGGGGGAGAAACCGTATTCTTGTGCTATTTGCGGTAAAAAATTCAGAGAGAAGTCAGGTATGGAGCGACATGTGAGAATTCACACAGGTGAGAAACCGCATTGTTGTAGCATCTGTGGGAAAAGATTCATTCAGATGATACAATTAAAGAAACACATGAAAATTCACACTGGTTAAGGTTTCATGTAGGACAGCTGTGAGTCATAGCAGCGTGTTGGTGGTAGAGCTCACACTGACCAGAAGTCAAATTACTGCGACACCTGAGTGAAAAGCCATTCTCGAAGTGAAGAGAGAAGCTCACTTAAAAAAAACAACAACCCAGAAACATTGTAATTCTTTATCAATCAAAACACAAGAGTGATTTATTTGTTGAGACTTTTATTCGTAAAACAGAAGCAACAAAGGTCGTTGGTTATAAATTGATAATGCTGCCCATTCATACTTAGCATTAAGGCTAAAGTGTGACCCACCTGCCACTGGGACACAAGCGTCAGTAAAAGAGCAGTACGTTCTGAGTAAACTAATCATGTTCTATGTTGGTTGTAATTCACTTTTTATTTGAATAAATGTATTTCTATAAATATGTAACTTAACCTTCTCCTAAGTAATGTAAAGCTGAATTTCTGTTGTTATTACTGCAGCCCACATGCAGTACCATCATGGCCCATCAGGAAGCACTGCCCTGCACTTTGCTGCCTTACTGTTAAAATTGTTTCAGGGAAAACCTGACATTCTTGCATTTCATGAAGGTTCTAGTTCAGTATGCTCCTGTTCTTTTATTTTATTGTTTATTGGAGTAATTATCCTTTGTCAAAGTTTAAATAAATATTTCATCAAAACCTCTTTTGAGTATTTTTTTTCTGTGGTATCTCTAGAAAATGCTTTCCCCGCTCTGGATTTCAGATAAATACGGCCCGGTGTATTATAGTTTCTGTTTGCCTTTCCATCCTTTAACGAGATGCACGAGTTGTAGCTGCAGTAACAACTTTGAATTTTTTTTCTGAGTTTTCTCATTGCTTTTTTCTCATCAAATCAGTCATTATTTGTATTTTATTAGATTTTATGTCATTATGTGGTACAGAAAAATACTCAAATTCAGATTCCTGGTGCAAAATTTGAGATTGAGATGAAATTAACTCCAGAATCCAAAGGTCTTGAACAATATGAAAAGAAATAGCATGACACCGAGGCAAAGACTCGACAACCAGATATGAGGAGGAGAGTTAATTCACCCCCAGGGGGAAATTTACAAATTTCAGCATCCTGGATGAATTTGAGGACGTTCTGTTCCTTTGACTCACCTTTTTCAGACTGAAGACATGCTATTATGTTTTATCTGTTTTTATTTTTCAGTTACAGAAGAAATGCATTGAATAAAACAAAGTTTAATATTATTATTAGTCTGAACTGGATTATTATTATTATCATCATCACAGCATTCATTTAAGCAGATTTCTAAAAAGCCAGCAGGATAAAACAGAGTGAGACTTTGTGCCGATGTAGAGCTGCATGACTGTGCTTAAAGTGCCACAAAGTATACATCAAGACTAAATATAAGCACTTAATGGCATTCTGTGTTTTACAAGCTGTTTATTGGGAAAAAAAACAACTTTAATGTTCTGATTGAGTTAGCTTATTTTTGTAGAAAATCAGGGGCTTCCTTTATTTCCTGAGTCATCATTGCTTATATCTTCATCCTTTTTCAGTGAGTGAAGTAAGGGACTTTTCCAGCGCAGTGTTTAGAGTGCTTCATTTGGTGAAAGCTCATAATGCACATTTCAGATAACTAATAAATAATTCAGATCTAAGGATATTGATGGAATAAAAGGCACACAGTTATGTGCTCAATGTTCTGCTAAATCCTCAATACAAACATATTACACTGCAATGTAATGAACACGGTTACACAAAGACTGTCTGCAAATATGTAATGGTAAACATACTGGGTGCAGAATTAATTTAACTCCGCGGTCCCAGACCAGTTTATGTCCGACAATATTTTCACAGATCAATACAACAAAATAAAACCAGTACCGCTACCAGAAAATTGAAGCTTTATTCATAACACATGGGAAAAGACCCAGGGAAACAGAGTTAATGATAAACACATTAAAAAAATGTAACTATAAAAACTATAAAAACCCTGAAAACCATAAACTTCACACCCGAGCCTCAGCTCTCGCGGCACCTGTCTGTGGCTAATAAATACTGGTCCTTGTCAGGCCACCTGAGTCCAAAAACTGGTGGTAACATAGCCAGAAATAAAATTAATATTTACTGAACTGTAAAGCTTAAGTCACGTAAATCACTAGTATTTCAAAACGAGTCTGTTAAATATTCCTGATTTATCTGGATGCAGCAGACACAAGATACTCCAATAATAGTTGTCTGTATATAAAATGATACTGAGCTAAAGTATTAATATTTACCACAGAAGGTAAAGAAAGCTTCTCCAGATGAAACCCAAGCCAAATGAAGCCTGTCGGTGTAATCGTCACCCTTGAACTTTTTCACCAGTGCAAGTGCAATGCAGTAGTTGAGAAATGCGTACAGAAGAAAAGATAACTACTATGAAAAATTATTCACTTTTACACAGATTTTTTCTTCTTTTACAGTCTTGGCTTATTAATTCTGAATGAAACCTATAAAAACTTTGTGATCTGTTTTCCTGTTTTTCTTCACAGGAAACCAGACTGATAGTCACTCCGTTCTCTCCAGCACTCTGTATTTCATCAATATAACCATTCAGACCTTTAACCCTTTCCATTTTGAAATATGATGTGTGGAGCGTAAAACCATTGTGTTTATTACTGATGATATACCAATGAAAGCACTGTAAAGTCCCCTTCAGTTTGAACTCTCAGTAAACTTGATCCAACACTGGAAAATCACATAGATCAGCACTAGATGACAATTTATTGTTGTTCTCATTTCATGCGTCACGTCTTTGAGAAGGATTGCATCTCACAACATATAGACTGTTCTGAGCACGAGTGATCAATATATAATGTCTGTTTGTTTTATTTATGGGACTTCATTAAAGCTTTTTATTCCCACATTTTCACTCTGAACATAATGGAAGATGGACTGTGCTCTGTTAATGGGAGATGTTTTTGCAAGGGAGTGAGATAATCAAGTCTTATGGCTCAGAGTAATGGTGGTAATCAGAGGGCACGAAAGTCCCTGTTTTTCTGATGAGATCATGAGGGGGATTTGACATAAAGAGTGGGTGAGTGAACCACTCTATAAAACTGAGAGCCCTTGATGTAAGGAAGTTCACTTTCGGTTGTGCTCTGGTCTGTGTCTCTACAGCTTGATCTCCTCCTTTTTGTCTGTTTTGTCTTTTTTAGTTTTCTTGGTGTATTGAAAGTTTCTTTCAGTGAACTATTCTCCATATTAATGTTTCATCTCCTGTGGAGTTTTTTTTCTTTGCATGCTTAAAAAAAATGCTTGTAACATCTGGCTTGATTTTTTTTTTTTTGTTCAACAGCTGACCACTGACAGCAAATTTTCTGGTTCCTTTGCTCTGACATATTTACCAGCTGAAGGACTGGTGTAATCTCAAAACTTCAAAGAACAGAGAGGAAAAACTCAGAATCTGAAGCTGAAACACACTTTGATTTTCTGTGGAGAAAGAGAAACCAGCATATTTACTGCTGCAAAGAGGACAACAAAGAACATCTCACTATGGATCTCTGAATTCCAGGAGAACTCGGGCTCTCGTCATGATAAGGTGATGAAGATTTTCTTTTTTTACTGATCAACAGAGTATCTGTTAGGTCTGCATAATGGATGAACATAAATGCCATGAAACAGTCCAAGCTGCAGCAGAAAGGAAGAATGATGTTTTACACTCAGCAGCAGAGCCAGAGACCAGAGCTGGATTCTTAAGATATTTGCATAAAATTACACTGGATCCAAACACAGCACATAAAGAGCTCGTACTATCTGAAGGGAACCGAAAAGCAACATTAAAAGAAGGCGGACAGTTTTACTCTTGTCATCCAGAGAGATTCACTGAATATGAACAAGTGCTGAGCAGAGAGAGTCTGACTGGACGTTGTTACTGGGAGGTGGAGTGCAGAGGAGGAGCAGTTTATGTAGCGGTCGCATACAAGAATTTCAGCAGAACAGGAGGTTTATATCACTGTGGATTTGGACTAAATGAGAAATCTTGGGCATTACGTTGTGACACAAACAGTTATATATTTTACTACAACAAAGTCCAAACTGACCTCTCAGGTCCTCGGTCCTCCAGAGTAGGAGTGTACCTGGATCACAGAGCAGGTATTCTGTCTTTCTACAGCGTCTCTGAAACCATGACTCTCCTCCACAGAGTCCAGACCACATTCACTCAGCCGCTCTGTGCTGGACTTGGTCTTGTGTGTTATGGAGTCACTGCTGAGTTCATTCAAGTTGAGACTGAAACACTGGGTGGACTGAGCTTTTGCTGTTGTGGCCCCAAAATTAAGGAATAACTTGCCCCTCCATGTTAGGCTGGCCCCAACACTTGAGACTGTTAAATCACTTGAAAAAACATACCTTCTCGGATGAGAGGTAAAACGTCTTCAAGCAACTTAAAGAAGTCCAGACGCTTTTCTTTGCAAGCTCTTTAGTTTGTTCATTTTATTTATTGTATATTTTATTTTATTCATTTTTACTATTTTTTATTTATTTATTTTATTGTTATTGTATTTTCTTTTCCTGTGTAATGATTGGTTTTCTAACTTTTATCACTGTTTTTCACTGGAAAGTACTTTGGTCAACCATGTTGTTTTTTAAGTGCTCTATAAATGAAGTTGGATTGAAGTAAAACAAATAGGTTTATCTTGAACCCTGATTTTCAGAGTGTGCCTCAGGGAAATCCAGCCCCCCTAAAACAAAAGAGTGCACAAAGTATGTGCAAACTCATTCGTGGTCGGAGTGGGTGGGCTGTCCCATCTCGCTTCCATCGCAAAAAACGAAGTTCAAAAAGACTGAAAACAAACGTGCAATAAAGTCACAAATTTAAGAAATGCCAGAGGGTTTTTTTCTCAACGTGGCCCTAAATCTCCTTTGTAGAGAGAGCCACACACCAAACGCAAAAAGCGTTTACTGAATCAGTCACGTGGTACGGCCGAACGTCAACACGAAGGTCATCAAAACGAGCCCGACACAGACGTCTGTCATTTTTTCCCTGTCCACGTTTCACTCCAGTAGGTGGCAGTAATACACCTCTAAGCTGGTTTGCCAACTGCCATCAAGCTCAGAAGAAGGAGAAGGAAGGAAGTGGAGGGCAAGTGTGGCTGTTTGAGTGGAGCGGTGTGTGCAGACATGGCTGCTTTTTAACGAAGCGGACTGAAGTCGGAAGAGAGACACAAACTAAAGTATTGATCCCGTCACATCAGTGTGGATCTGATCCCAACGTCGGCTTCACGTCATCGATGCTTGTATCGATCCGCTCAGCCTCAGCAGCGATGAGTTCAGCTCAGTATCTGAGAGAGTTCATCAAGGAGAGAGACTAACTGCTGTTTGTGAAGAAATCTTCTCAGAGGTTCAAAAAACCATCGTCCAGTATGAGGAGGAGATCAACCGTCAGCACAGACTGCTGGATATCAGCCGGAAACCCGACAGAAACGCACACATCAAAGGTATGGACATGTTTTTAACTCTGTGCTGTTCAAGCTCAGATTCTTCAGTGTTTGGTTGATTGGTGATAAATCTGAATCTTTGTTCCTCAAGACCCCCTACAACAACACAACTGTAAGGAAGAGGAGGACCCAGAGCCTCCACAGATTTACAAGGAACAGGAGGAACTCTGCAGCAGTCAGCAGGGAGAGCAGCTTGGACTGCTGGAGACCATCTGTGAACCTGATATAATGTCACACAGAATAGGTATGTAAACTGTGATGGTAGTAATAAAAATGAATTAGGCCTGCAGCTATTGATTATTCTATCAAATAATGGATTAATTGGATAAGAAGTACTTTTGTCTCATTAATGTACAATAATAAATATTATAAAGAGAAAAAACACTTTCAGAGTGAACAGAGGGAACTTGAGGCTTGTTAGGTTGGACACTGAAGTATTATTATTATTAAATAAAATCTACACCATCAAAACATCTTGTTCTCTTTTCAACAGCACAAAACTGTCCTTTGATTAAAATCAGAAAGTCTTCCAAGAGGACAAAATAAATTTTTTATGCCATAGTTTAGATTGCAGATATCTATATGAAATATATTATTTGGCTTTGATCCTTGACTGTACTTGAAATTAACCTAAATACTAAGAGAAGGATCACGTGTGTCCTGCATGAGGATAGGGATTTGTGTTGGTGTGTGGGGCTGTAGCCTGTAAGTTTATATAAATCCAAAAGTAATGTAATGAACAGTGTAACGAATAACTCCTTCCAGGTGGAAATAACTGTAACAATGACCTGACACACACAGTGTTTGACGTGTTGTTTTCTTTTATTTTGCTTGGTTTAGCAGTTCGCGTTTTTGGTTTGGTTTGTACCATCAGCTCTTAAACATGCTATAATCCAACCTGTTCTTAAAAAAAGTAACCTCGATCAAAATGATTATGCCAATTATAGGCCGATTTCCAAACTTCCCTTCGTGGCTAAAATTCTTGAGAAGGTAGTTCTGCTTCAACTTCAGACCTACCTGGATGAGAATAACATTAATGATAAATATCAATCGGCCTTCAAACAACACCACAGCACTGAATCAGCACTGCTCCGAGTTTTTAATGACCTTTTACTAATGGCTGACAATGGACGCCCCTCTGTCCTAGTGCTATTGGATCTTTCATCGGCATTTGACATGGTTGACCATAACATACTATTGGCGAGACTAGAGCACACTGTAGGCATCAAGGGCGCTGCCTTGGATTGGTTTAAATCTTACCTCTCCGATCGGCTCTCTTCGGTTCACTTGGCCACCTCCTCCTCCTCCGCTGTACCTGTTTGCTGTGGTGTCCCCCAGGGATCTGTGTTAGGCCCTACCCTGTTCTCACTGTATATGCTTCCTTTAAGTGTCATTTTTGAGAAATACCACATTGCCTTTCACTATTATGCCGATGACATCCAGATCTATTTTGAGCTGAATGATGATCTAGCTATGTCCGTGAGTAACTTTCGAGAGTGCATGTGTGAGGTCAAGCAATGGCTTCTGGCAAATTTTCTTATCCTTAACGATAAGAAAACTGAAATTATGATCTTTGGCAGTGACGCTCTTCGTGCCAAACTTCATGATGCTTTTGGTTTTCTCACTAGTTCTTTCCCTGACACTGTTAGGAATTTGGGTGTGCTACTTGACAGCTCATTTAAACTTGATAAACAAGTATCTGCTGTCGTCAGATCTAGTTTCTACCAACTTCGCCTTATTTCCAAGGCCAAACACTACATCCCGCACAATGACTTGGAAAAGCTTATCCATGCCTTTGTAACGTCAAGACTAGATTACTGTAATTCACTTTATTATGGTCTCCACTCTACCCTTTTACATAGATTACAGACAGTCCAGAATGCCGCTGCACGCATTCTAACTAAAACTAAGAAGTTTGCTCACATCACTCCCGTCCTTGCTGATCTGCACTGGTTGCCTGTGAAATTTCGTATTCAATTCAAAATTCTGTTGTTTACTTTTAAAATTACTAATAACACAGGGCCAAGTTATCTTAAGGAACTCTTAAATTCATATCTTCCTACGAGGGCCTTAAGATCTTCCTCACAGTCATTGTTGGTTCAGCCCAGATCTCGCTTGAAGTCTAGAGGTGATCGAGCGTTTGCTCTAGCTGCACCTGAGCTGTGGAACAATCTCCCGATTGGCATCCGGGCGTCTGATTCTATTCAATCTTTTAAATCACGGCTTAAAACATATTTGTTTGAACTTGCTTTTTCTACTAGTTAAATTCTCGCCTCGCTTCTTGTGAGTTATTCTATTAATGTGTCTGGTTGTTTTGCGTTGTCCTGCGCTGTCAATGTTTTCTATCACTGTGTTTGATGGTACAGCTTTACTCTGCTATAGCTGTGTGCTATAGTTTATTCTTATTAGTGGTTTTTAACTGTGAACATAATCCCACACTTATATGACTCCGATGTTTTAGTGTAAATCATTTTATTGTTTTATTGTTTTATGTAAAGCAGTTTGGCATGCCCCTGGCTTTTAATGTGCTCTATAAATAAAGATTGTTGTTGTTGTTGTTGTTGTTGTTGTTGTTGTTTAAGGCACTCTCGAGCCAGGAGTCAGCTCCCTCCGCAGCTCCTGCACTGCACACACTCCTGTCAGTCTCACCTGTTACTATATATATGGAGAGAGTCATTAGTCAGCACACACACCTGTCCCCTCTGCTGCCCTGACACCGCCTTAAGAGTTCACTGCACCACCCTTCCACTGCAGCGGGGCAGAGACCACACCCCTCCCATAGTAGCATACTGCATTACTTTAAAGAACGGTTATGAAATGCCTTCAACATGCACACACATACAATTAATTTGCATATATGTAATGCCTTTGATATGCTGCTTGGAGATAGTCGGGACTCTCAAAGTGGAGCCAGTGAGAACCTAATAACAATAAGAGAACCATTAAAAATTTGAATCGTTAAGTGATTTGAGAATGGAATTGGAATAGCTAAATCCTCATCAAATCTGATCACTACTGAGGGGTCAGATCAAATGTTTTCTCAACAGCTTGTTTTTCTGCATTTGTCTCTTCAGACCTCCAACAGCAGCATGTTGGTGAGGAAGAGGAGGGTCTGGGTGAGGAAGAGGAGGGTCTGGATGAGCAGCAGGTCTGTAACCAGGAGAGGAACTCCAGTCTGGACCAGGAGGACCCAGAGCCTCCACAGATTAAAGAGGAACAGGAGGAGCTCTGCAGCAGTCAGGAGGGAGAGCAGCTTGGACTGAAGCAAGAGGCTGATGCTTTAGCAGACAACACTGCTGCTTCAGAGAGTCAAACTGAAGCAAGGGAAAAGTCTCTACAGTGTGACACTTGTGGGAAAACGTTTCAGTATAAATGCTTACTGGCTGCACATTTGACAGTCCACACAGGAGAGAAACGGTTTCCTTGTAGCAAATGTGGCAAAAAATTCAGTCAGCTGACACGCTTGAAAAATCACATGAGAATTCACACAGGTGAGAAGTCGTATCCTTGTAGCACCTGTGGAAAAGAATTCAGTAAAAAATCAGCTCTAAAATCTCACGTGAGAGTTCACACAGGCGAGAAGCACCATTGTTGTAGCATCTGTGGGGAAAGTTTCATCTGGAGTATGCAGTTAATACGGCACAGGAGAATTCACACAGGTGAGAAGCCATATTTTTGTGGTACCTGTGAGAAGAGATTCATTCGGAAGATACAGTTAAAGGATCACATGAGAATTCACACTGGCGAGTGTCCGTACTCGTGTAACAGCTGTGGGGAAAAGTTTATTGACCTATCAGCATTGAAAGCTCACGTGAGAATTCACACAGATGAGAAGTCGTATCCTTGTAGCACCTGTGGAAAAGAATTCAGTAAAAAATCAGCTCTAAAATCTCACGCGAGAGTTCACACAGGCGAGAAGCACCATTGTTGTAGCATCTGTGGGGAAAGTTTCATCTGGAATATGCAGTTAATACGGCACAGGAGAATTCACACTGATTAACTGTTTCATGCTTAGAGAATATGGGGACAGCTGCGAGTTATAACAGTGTGCTGGTGGTAGAGCCGACACAGAGGAGCAGCCTTTTGCAGGAGTCTGCTCCTGTTGTGTAGACTTGTTCAGTTGTTTATTATCCAGGGATCGAGTTCTGTTATTGTTCTACTGAAGCCTCGTCTTTTTCTTTTTTAATCAAAGCAAGAGTAACCAAAGCTGAGTGTGTTCATTCAGGTTTTTAAGTCTCAGACAAACATCTGGTTTTAGTTTTTATATATACTTGAATAAATTGTCTCACAGTCACACAGTGTAATGATTTTCAGGCATGGTACTTGGACTTTGCTGTTGTTGTTGTTGTTTTTTAATATAAAAAAATCCAGCTGTGTCTGCTAAATGCAGAATAAACTAAACTAAATAAAGATTACCTTCAAACTTCTTTTGACAGAGTTTCACTTTCAGGAGGAAAATGTTTTAATAAGTCATAATAAGTCACTTATTGTGAATTACAAAGTCTGTGGCACAAGAAATCCAACAGCAAATGTCTTCTGCCTGTTGTAGCTGCTACTAGGAGTGTTTATTTGTTGGAGGGTGACATGTTACCAGAACGAGTGCATAATCAGCTCAAACCTGTCTGTCTAGAACACTTCCCTTGTGGGCCAGTGGTGCAATGGACAATCATCTGACTGGATTTTAAAAAATCCAGGTTCAACTTCTGGCTGCTTTAGTCTCTTTGCAGCCTCCCTATGAGGGCGTGGACACACTTTATGGACATGTAGATACTGGGTAAGGGAGAGATGCTGGTGCTATTAATCGTTTGGATTCAAATGAAGGTTAGAACAGCAGCTCTAATGTCTTGTGTGGATCTAACTGTATACTGAAAATATCACAGTGTCACGTCAGTGCACTCGTAGAATAAAAAAACAAGAGCTTCATTTCTTTGAATAATAATTTTATGTTGTTTCTCTTCTACTTCACGGAGAAGTCAGTAGTTCTTTATTGATCACAAAGATTTTTTTCTCACTTTGTGCATTTGTGAAGAATGTGTCATTACATCTACATTGATCTGTTTGTCTGCTGTTTGTGACTCAGCAAACACTGCAGGAACTTTACTTTTCATTATTATAATCAATGAGGAGTTCTTTGTATTTAATGTGAACAAACTCAGGTTATTTTTTTACAAAGGAAAAAGGCTTGTGTTCATTCCAGGATCTGACAACGTGAAGCTAATCTGAGAGAATAAATGAAGCAGTTTTCCTCCTTGGTGCTTTTGCACTGATTTTAGTTTGTTGGCAGTAAGTTCACGAGCTCTGTGTGTCTGACTTGATTTCATATGCAAGAAAATGATTAAACACAACTGAACCTGCAGAAAACATTAAAGTGAGACTGAAAGACAACTGTCACACAGAGCGGAGGGAGACACCTGGTGGACAAACACAGACATGACAACAAAAAACACTAAAGCGCAGAGGGATGACAAACGGCTGGAAATAACTCCAGGAAAGGATTGCTGTGCATCAGAAAAGCACTCAGCACACAATAATATCTTGTTGGCTTCATTAAGGAAGTGAAACTGGCTGATAGTGTAGACACCAGGCTGTTTTTAATAACTGGTTTGTTTTTCAATCTGAGCTCCAAAGGTCGAAAACACAAATCCTTTTTCATGATTTCCTGTCCTGTCGACACGTCACTGAAACAGGCATCGAAGTGAACGGTGGCTTTAAACCTGGAAGAGAGGAGAACTAGGGACAGAGCCAAGCTAACGACAAAGAACAGGACACTTTCTCTCTCTCTTAAGAGAGACACAAATAATTTGTGTGGAATCTTATTTAATGCAGAACAAATAAATAGTCTGAAAATAGTTAATTCAAAAAAGGGCTTGGGTAAATAGCTGCATATAACTTTGTTGTTTGCAAAACTTGTGCATAAGATTTTAAATTGACAATTATATTTGCATTTCAAAGTTATGAAAATGATTCGTTAAACATGTTTGTGGTTGTTACAGTAAAAAATATACTTTTTCTACTCTGATTTTATGTTTTTTGTCTGATTTAGATCAATTGTGTTAATACAGTATGTCAAAATGAAAAATAACTGTAAATTCAGACATGAGGTTGTGCTGAAAAAATGATACCAAACAAGGCAAATAAACTGTTTTTAAAGGTGAAATGTAGGGAAAATCAAAAGTAGTCTAAAAAGGCCAATTATACCCTGGACCCCAGAGGGTTAAACCCTTAGCATGGCTATTCAACTACGAAGTTAGTTGGGCCAGATTTTCAAACCGAGGAATTTATCTGGGCCAGATATTTTTTTTGAAGCCAGTAAGCAGCAGATCATGATCAATTTCAAACCCACACAACTGTATGAAAAACAAGTATTTTTTTTATTCCTTTTCCCCTGTAAATCGGTGGTGACCTCTCACAAATGCACACCAAAAGGTCCATTTAAAAAAAAGGGAGCTATAACTAAACTATTTTTTGCACATTTGAAATAATAATAATAATAACAAAAAACATTTTGATAATTCCCTTTCAAATTAAAATAAATATTTGCTGACCACTCACTTTTCCTGCCATGGATGGAGCCCCATCCGTCACAGATACAGACACGCTTCATATCCAGACCATTTCTCTGTGTTTCTGCCAGGACCACAGGCAGGGCCACTCACAGGTTGCTTCTGGGCCGCATTTGGCCCGCGGGCCGCCATTTGAATAGGCTTGCTTTAAGACTTATCGGAGCAGGCACACTTTGTTTTGCATAACTATTTTTAAAACCTAGTAGAATTGCAACCACATAAGCTAGCAAAGGATGAAAATGATGTTTTCTATTCAAAGTAGGAAAAAAATGGAGACCAGGCAAAGTCAGAGCTGAAAACTTTTTCTTTTAACTTTTTTTAATTTTCACCTTGAAAGCAGAGTTTTTACTGAGATATTTTATGAGTTGACAGCACCATGTGCTACTTTCTCTCTGCTGATATGAGTAAATGGAGCTCACACACCTGTCTGTTTCTCTATGTCTATAAGCAGCAGCTACACCACCTACTGAAACTGAGGTGAAGTGCACCAAAACCTCTGTTAGTCGTGATCACGTGACGTGGGTGTTTTGAACCACGCTTCAGAGTTGTGTTTGAAAACATCTGTGCTCCAGAAGCTTGACTCAATGTAGAAACATCTTTTTATAGCGTCCCATCCACACTGATATCACCTCTTCACTACACTCCAGCTCCAAAGGTTAACTGTAGAGTCAAAGTGAATTCCCAAAGAAGGAAAGCTTGTAACTCTCTCCAATCTCTTCAAATCTTCATCAGTGAGCCTCCACAGTTTTTTTTGTGGTTCACTTGTCCAGCATATTTATTCAGGTAAATTAATCCTAACAAAATTTAAACCAAAGCAAACCTTTCATTCTGAGCTTGCAAGGACCTCTCTCACCACTGACTGGTTAGTCAGTCCTACTTTTGTGCACTACTCCTGGCATCGTAGTGGGTAAAAATCAGAAACAAAGAAAAACTTCAGCTGAATAAGAGAACACTCTCATGCTGCATTCACACATTAGAGCAGGGGTGGGCAACTCCAGGCCTCGAGGGCCAGGTCCTGCAGCTGATTCAAATGGCTAAATTAC